TTCGAACCGACGAGCTTTCCGATTGACTGGGTTCCTGTCTCTTATACACATCTAGATGTGTATAAGAGACAGGAGAGAGAGAGAGAGACGTGAACAAGATGAGAGGAAAAGGGTAAACCTGGTGATGTGACCGTCTGGTAAAGAGGAGAATTGAAATTTTGCAGCAAAGTTTCTGTGCAAAAGAAGCGACTTCCTTACTTCACACGACACATGTTCAGTGGCCTGTGCCGTGGAACACGTCTATTTATGAGTTATGGGTTATCATCTGATGGGCTTCCAGCTCCTTGCTTGTGCTACTGTATTTGCGCGTAGGGAGTAGGGTGGTTGATGACTTCACTTCACCTCTGGTGTTGCAAGTTGCCATTTTTTTCGACAGCGTTGTCTTCTGTGTTGACCAAGATTAAGGCTAGAAGTGCGGACAAATTTCAATGTGTGCATGCCCGATGTGCCTGCCCCCGCTCCCCCCCCCAACCCCCCCCTATGTGTCCTCTTCTCCCTATGTGCAACGAAATAGTCATGGGACAATATATCTCGTGGGCACTTCCCACCAACCCTCTTTTCCAAATGACTAATGCTCCTGTGAAAAGGCTATGAGGAAGCAATCAATGCCGCTGTCTTGCGGTCCCTTGGCCATAACTGAGGGAAGCATGGAGCTGTCTCTTATACACATCTAGATGTGTATAAGAGACAGCCCCCTATGTGTCCTCTTCTCCCTATGTGCAACGAAATAGTCATGGGACAATATATCTCGTGGGCACTTCCCACCAACCCTCTTTTCCAAATGACTAATGCTCCTGTGAAAAGGCTATGAGGAAGCAATCAATGCCGCTGTCTTGCGGTCCCTTGGCCATAACTGAGGGAAGCATGGAGTGAGTACATGTAACAGACGCTGGACCTTGTTCCCAGCCTTTGCAATAAAAAAAAGGGTTTCAGTATTAAAAAAAATATATATATATATAATTCCGTAGCTCGGTCCATGAACGATGTAAAACACCGGTTAGTGCTAAAGACAGTTCGTGAGCATAGGTTTAAAGTTTAAACTTTAAAATAAACTTGAACAGCAAAGAAATTGGGTACATCCCATCTGTGCTGAGAATGCTTAGCTGATGGGTTGGACAACGTGGCTGCTGTGCAAGGCTAGCCATAGTCTACCTCTTTGTATGCTCGACCCTTCCCTACCATGGATGTGGCAGGAGCTACTCTATGATTGCCATGGAGCTACTCTTATAACTAGAGGGAGAGAGATTGAAGATTTCAATCCTTCTTGTGGCCAGGCTTTTGGAAGATTTTAAAAAGGCCTTGACATCAACCTCTGCTTGAACCACCACTCCATCTACCAATACAAATAAGGATTAATCGACTGCAGGTGCCAGAGAAGTCTGTGGTAGTCAGAGGTTCGATACAACAAGCCATCATGAAAACTATGTGGCCTCCTGAACTCCGGGAGATTCTTAATAGATGCGGTGGTGGTTAAAGATGCCAGGTCAGGCCTTGTTTCTCATTTGGATCCCACTCTGAGGGCCTCACTCCACTGCACAACACTCTACATGCATTTGGATGGTTTCACGACCAGTTGCATTTGGACGAGTCCAACATTTTGAACGCATTGGGTTCAGAAAGCGCCCAAATGAATGTAGAGTGTTGTGTAGTGGAGCGAGGCACCGAGTTCTTCGATGTTGGCATTGCCTTGCATCAACATGTTGTGGTAGATCACACCCTATTGAGTATGGGCCTCACTCCACTACACAACACGACATGCATTTGGACGCTCTCTGGTCCAGGTGCATCCGGACGAGTCCAACGTTTTGAATGTCTCCAGTCTAGATTGTCCAAATGCATGTGGAGTGTTGTGTAGTGGAGCGAGGCCCTATGTAAGTAAAAAGCCACTCCCTTTTCGGGA